TCCAGCGGAGGTCTAGTTTCTCCTTGAAAATATTCACTGATGGGGCTGATACCACTTGTTCGGGTAAGGCGTCCCAGTCATATATGATCAATATTGGCTACTCTATGAGGAAAACGGGACCCCACTTTAAGTTTATTAGGTCACGGTTTGTGAACCTTCTTGCCATGAACTCGGAGATTATTAGTGCTGGAGGGAGCAAAGGAAAAGAAATATTAACACCGAAATCATAATTAAAGATACGAAATGCCAGTATAAGGTCACCTCGTGTCCTACGATACGACAAGGGGAAAAGGTTTAGGCGTTTGAAACACTCATCGTAAGGGAGTCTAGAAAGACCTTTCACTAATTTCGTTCCCACAGGCTGGACACGCTCAAATGAGTTAGTATCCTTTACCAGACATGGGCTAGCTGCTTGGATACAGTACTATAAATGTGGTCTTACATATATGGGATATAAAATTCGAAACGTTTCCTCGTCAAAAGATTTGAACACTCGGCGAAGTGACCATAGCGCACGAAAACCTTTGACAGCGGCTGCTTTGCAATGCGTAGTTGTTTTTAAATCAAGACTTAATACTACTCCTAAGTTTTTATGCTCTTGAACGCATGGAAGTGGTTTACCCTCAATAGTATAACGGTAACTACTACCGTGACCGATGTGCATTAGCACACTCTTCCCAGCATTGATTTCTAAACCCCACTCTCGATCCCATCTGACTAAATCGTCTAAGTCAGCTTGAAGATCCAGATGATCAGCCGCACATCATCCACAAACAATAATGTCGATGACCTAAACAACAGCGGTAAATCATTAACGTTGAGAAGGAAGAGCATAGGGCCTAAGATGGTGCCTTGGGGTACACCACTTTTGACCGGCTTCCAATCGGATAGCGTTCCGTTGACCCCCACTCTCTGTCTGCGGTCATATAATAAGTTTTCTATCCACTCATGTACAGTACCTATTATTCCGAACCTCGTGAGCTTCTGCATAAGACCTACGTGTGAAACCTTGTCAAATGCTTTGCTAAAATCTATGAATATCACGTCGACAGACAGACCGTTATCTAGGGCTACTGTCCAATCCCCACCCGCAAGAAGCAAGTTAGTCAAACATGAAAGCTTGCTATGAAATCCGTGTTGCTCAGGAGCTAACAGATTGTGTAAATCTATGTGGCTTAACAACCTAACCCGAATTAACTTTTCAAGCAACTTAACGGCTACGCTAGTTAGACTAACAGGCCGGTAGTTTGATACTATATGTCTCTGACCGTACTTAAGTATAGGACTGACTATAGTGTCCTTCCAATCCCTAGTGAGTTGAGCGAGTGGAAGGGAGTGTCGCAAGCGGTTTTGAAATAATGTCCGCAAGAGATGACAGCAACCGTGGATGTAACCCTTCAGGGCCCGGTGTCTTACCAGGTTTGAGGTTAGTATCAACGGAAGGACAGTTTCCGTAGTCACCTGTACAGATTCGATGGCTGATATCTCGGTGTGATTGGGACAAGTATTTGTTGCAATAAATTTAGAGTAGATTTCGCTAAAATAGTTTGAAAAAGCCTCAGCTTTTGCCCGATCTGATTCAGCTAGTAAATCTGAAGTATCGTGTAACAGTAACGGGGAAATACCATCACTACGTTTCATCCGCCGTTTAACATACGAAAACAGTCGTTTCGGATGAGTACGGCTATCATATACCAACTGTCGTTCGTAAGTAGTACGGGATTTAGCTATGGTTTTCTGACAAATATTCCGGAATTTTTGGTACTCACGCTTGAATGATGCATGACCTGTCAACAAGAATAAGTCCCAGAAATGTTTCCTACGCTTTAACAGCTTCCGGGTTTCCTTATTAATCCATGGAGGACAATGTGATAGCTTACGTGCTGACCATGGAATAAACGGCGACGTTACGGACTCGAATGTAACCTTAAACTTATTCCGTTCATCTTCGATCAATCCTTCCTTGTCGACCGACCAATCGGTCGAGATAGCACAGTTTCTGATTGTAGGAATATTGGCTCGCCAGATATTGGGACGGGGTGGAGCAGATACAATTATATACCATGTGTCCTAAACTTAAAGTGAAGTACAACGTGATCACTGTTCATTAGTGGGGGAAGGTGCTGAATATCAAAGACATCCTCACAGTGGTGGGTGAGGGTGATATCAGCAGTGATGGATTATGTTGCAAATCAATATGTGTCGGTTTTATGATACATTGTACAAGTGCATACTGAATAACGGTTGATGAAAGGTCGCTATCGAAACCTCTACCTCGAGCTGTAAGCTCTGTCCAGTTGATATGCGGTGCGTTGAAGACCTCAATGATGAGACGAAATTCTGCCATACTCCAAGAACAGATATGTCTTACGATAAAGTCGTCAGCTAAGCAACACGTACTACGGTAAATTCCCCCTATAGTCACTAACCCCTTTCTAGATTTAAGTTTACGACATGCTACCTCACATGTACCACTAACATGAGCCTCCGATATGACTGATTGTATACGAAAGTGATCCCTAACGTATAACATTATGCCCGACTTGCGACTTAAAACGCGATCACTTCCAATACAGATATAGCCTGAGATGACGGTAGAACATTCTATATCTACTGTGAACCAAGTTTTTGTAACAATAATTATATTGGGACTTAATTGGTCCACCATTAAACTTGGCTCGGATATTTTATTTCTAAAACTACGGGCGTTCGTTTAGCATACTGTTAGATTCACCGTTTAGCCCAACATACGCCTAGGTACATGTTTCTACGTTACGTTCGATAGGTTTTTGTTCTTTTTTACAGAGAAAGCACAACAACTTTGTGTACTTAATTACAATACAGTGAGTACTTTTTGAATGGTTGCCATACTCAGTTACATGAGCTTGATCATCTGCGAAGCCACGTTTTATAATTTTTGGAGCAATTGTGAATTTTGAGATTATCCATTGTTGCTTTGAACTATGGCGCTGTATCTATCTCTTGATGCGAATTGAGAGCTGCAGTCAGAATCCTTCTGAAAAGCCTTCTCTTTGAGTCAGGTATTTTTCCAGTACCTCCTGTTTTCAAGTGTATATTTTTCATGCGTAATGCATAGGGTGGCATTCAATGTTCATGTAGTCCTATCCAGTGTAGATAAGTTAGGGAACGTTGGCATGGCTCTCAGTTACTTAGTTTGGTCCCGCGTAAAATATGACTGTCATGATTACTGCTCTCCACTGAAGGGACTAGACATAGGCATCCCCCACTATGAGCTTATCATTTGTTAGAAGTTATGCTTTTTCATAATATTAGCTCTTTATTCTCTTTCGTAATAATCCTCACACGTCCAGACATCCCCAGACTTATGATGGCTGTGACAAGTCTATTGTGAAACCATTTCGTGATTTTATCCTGATTTCTCAGAATGAGCGGTCTCTGTCAGGAGTATATGGTCGGACCACAAATGTGTTATTCATATTACAACCTTGGATTACTGAGCGTTAGTTCCGAAGGAGAGTGGTTCGTCCTACCCGACAAGTCGCTTGCTACTGTTTGTATTGAAGCAACACTAGCATGATTCTCTCAATTCGATCGCTTGAGTGGTGTTGTATTAGGTTTTCGAAGTGATCACCAATTGTTTTGTAGACCCCATGGCATCGAGATGTATCATGTCTCGCAAGCCTACTTAATTTTTTGAGATTCAGGGAGATTACAATGTTTCACTCGGGACGTTAGTCTTCAGATCTAACTGAGGACTGTCTCGGAATGCCTGACGTGGTCGACTTCCAGCAACTTACACACCACCAATTACGTACCCAAAAGTCAATAACTGCGACGATATCGAATACGACTTAGTAGCAGTCTTTATGCGCATTATCTATTTCACGATTATTGTCATTCACATCAAGCAAATGCTGACCACACTCATGCTTGGCTAGTCTATCTACCCACTTTCGAATAAACTACCAGTCACTTTTCGTCTCCACCATACAACCAGTAAGCATAGGACTCAACGGTTCAAAGACGGTAAACGAATCCCTACACCTGCTTCACTATGTTGAGGATGTGATTTTGTTCCAAACAAGTCTTCTAGAATATTTCTGAAGTACCATTTTGTATTGACTTATAGTTGATAGCAATTAGCACTTATGAGTTTTCTGACTTTATAACACGAATTTTATGTAACTTGTGGTAGTTATCATGTTCGACTCTTTATCAATGGTCATTTGTATATCAAATGTTACTGTAACTGTAAAAGATATTATGTGATTTCCACATAAATCCGACCAGGTACCTAGACCTTAGCTGAACCACCGTAGGATTCGAGTTATGATAGATAGTGAGTTTCATTAGCATACTTCACATATGGAAACTGATAATATTACTTCTGCCGTAACTAATTCTGTAAGCAGTGAGAAATACTTATTCCCGTGTGTTATGATAGAACGTTGAGTAACTCCAGAATCGAAATAATAGATCCACCTAACCCCTTTCACATATTCAGCTAATTAGTTCTCAAAGATCTCCTGTTTGACAATATTATTTTACTCAATAGCTGTTAAACTGTATTTGTCGTTAACAAAATAAACGAGTCTATTAAATAGATAGAAATAGGAATACACAGTTTCAGGAGTTAGAAGAGAGGTTGCGTTATGCAAAACTAAAGTTTAAAATATACAAAAGAAATGTGTTTATATGACGAGTATGAAAAATGGCGAATAATAGATTTCTAGATAAAAAGAATACGACAGTGGTAATAACAAGCATCAGAAGGACTTTTGATGGAGTGAGTTACTTTTGTTATTTGAACACAAGCCCTAATAAATGCCAATTACTGATCGCAAAACATTCTTTCTAAAAAAGAGCATGTTACTCACTGCCAAATGTAAATAAAATAAAGAATACACAGAAGTTATTCTTGAAAAAAGTATGTTGAATGACATAATGAAAATAGACTTCTTTTTAGATAACACGAACAGAAAATAGAGTGGGAATTTTTCTGGTCAAATTAATTCGCTTCATGAAGATGATCCAACATTACGTGGAGTGGTTTCTGTTAGAGCACGAGCAGGCAGCAACAATGCCGAATATCTAAGGTTCTATTTTCATTTGATTTTTCAAGGGGGAGGGCAAAATAAAAGTTAAGAAGAAAAGTACACTAATGTGTAACTTGATGAAGAAAATATTCGTGCAAAAAAACATTTTTTAAAAATTGCCATGGTGTAAACTGAAGAACATGTATCAAATTCACTGAAAGCTGTTATTACAATCGATCTATAGCTTTTGAAAAAGGCACGACTCACTTATCTCTTTGAAACCTATCAGTAGAGTGGTGGTTCAGTGGTAAAAGAGACGGACTTTCAGCCAAGAGTTTCAACCCCCACCTACTACTCTAGTTCAGGCAGTCGTGTGACATTAACATCTCCTACGCATCAAGTATTGTTCGAGGTCAAGTAAATGAATCCCTATACCTAGGTTAGCTAACAAACACCAAACAAGTGGATGTCAACTATGTTGAAATTAGTAGATCAAGAGTCGAAACCCAAGACTAAATGATACTGATTATCTGTTCCAGAGAATTTCGATTTGGAAAAGTCATTAGACTACTTGCAAATCAGTTAACTAATCTTAGATTTACCTTATTTGCTGGAGAAAAGTCTACACACCGTAGGCTAAGTATTCATCATTTTCACTGAGATCCAAGATATTTAACCTTTGCTTCGGTGCCTGTTTGGTACGCAATCATTTACCTTAATTTCAAGAGAATTATGAACTTGATTATGGGCGATAGGTATAAAGCCAGTTTGAGTTTTGTCCATATTATCAATATATCTTATATTCAATAGTCAAATTTCTAAGATCAGATTATGGATAGGAAGTTGTTTATTTTCATTATTTCGAAAAGTATAATTGTTGCCCAAGCAAAGTAACCACTTGTTTAAAGACAACAGATAATTCATTATATCGAATTGTGACAAGATGAATCTAATGAGATATTTGTAGTTGTATATTCAAACATATTTGTGATGGAAGGTTATTTCCAAGCGATCCCTAAATAAACATTGAATTCTTAGGCGAATTGCAAGAAACAGATTAATCAATTAGATTATTCAGGCAAACACCACACATGCTGGAACACAATCAATCATAATATATTCCGTGAAACGCTGTGATAATAAACTGAGAAAATGATTCGGCATGATCAGACGATAACAAGAAACAAGCCCATCATATCATGAATTACTAACAATATGTGGGCTGTGGAAATCGTTAAAACTCGATGAAATTACGAAACGACTTAATTACTACTTTGGGATTTCACAGTAGCGTGTATTTTTCATTCCATTTTTGAACACGTGATTATTATAAGCTTGAGTTTTGCGTAGAAACCTGAGCTACCAATACGAGTCTATGAGAAGTAAGGAGTCAGTGTTCTTAGATTATACTGTTTAAAATCGATTATAGTGATTCAGGTGTATTTACATTTTACTGTTTTTAACTGTCCGATTGTATAAACTGGATTCAAACCGATAATTTCATATATCAACACAGCTGGTAGGTTTGTTTGATATAGTATTCATTAGTTCAGTATCAAAAATTTCACCGCGATTGACCGAAACTGCATTGTATATCGGAGAATGAAGTACTATTAATACCTATTTAATAAATTTGTCACTAGTGATGCGAAGGTAGTTTTAAACCAAGGTGAATATTTCTCAACGCTTAGACAATAAATAGTTATGATTTTATTGGTCGCGTATAGTGTAACTTTGTTAGTATCATATATATTTATTCAAACACATAAACATTGGCACAGGGAGGCACCAAATATATATGCGCCATACTTCGTCACTTGATTCTTGTGTGGGCTGGAATACTGCCCGGGTGCCCAGACCGAAGCGGGTGGTTTTCTTAGGAGGCCACTCAACGAGCCTATGACCTAGAGGTCTAATCCATAAGGCAGTGAAGCAATGTTAGGAGATGAAATCCCATGGTAGCCGGTGACCAACAATTGGTTCATATGCCATTTGTTCCCTCAGAATCTTAGAGCCTATGTGCTCCATTGGTTTGGAATTAGGGCATTCCAACCCCGCTAGGTGGACCCTCCGTGTCCACCAACCCGGTTAAAGCACCAAATATTCGCTTTTTGTCTTCTTAATTTCTTAAACTGCATCGTGAGAAGGTAGTGAGTAGGACTTCCCTTTCAGTGGCTGTATACGCGCGAATTCGCTAGTATCCAAATAGTACTCAGTTTTCTAACCTGTAAATTTGGCTCGACCATTATCACGTCATAACTATATCAATGAGAATCTACTATCTAATCAATATCTTATTGTGCATGAATAAACTAGGTTGATTTCCCAATCTTCCCCAGGGAAAAAATAAACGCAAAAAAGCTTACTGATTTACGGACAGATCTTAGGAAACCAGCATTGGATGTTATTGTCAGCGCTTCTAATACATTGCCGAATTCCATGATACGCTGGAAAAAATCACAAAGTGTATTTTTGTTTACTAATATAACCTCTAAAAATGAATACTCGGAAGATATACATATACATACATACATATTTTTAATTGAAATAGTGTGAAATCAGTTTTCTTTTAAGAGAATCATTGAACCAAATAGTCTATTGATTAAGTAGTTCGTTGTCTTTTTTAGAAAGTATCTGAAATTATTGGAGTATAACCATTCAAACTTATAACTTGGTGCATTCGATTTTAAGTCACTTAGATTAGTGGATACATTACAATTCGATAGATAGAATACGATCCTTAACACTAAAGGATTAGACAGAGAAGACAGTATTCACTAATCATCCAGTGATCAACTAGTTTTAAATATCTAGGTCATATAGAAGGTCAGTCACTATCCGAATAACTCAGTGATAACATAACACACCACAAAGCTGGGTGGTGCAGGCTCAAGTCCAACACGAAGTATCAACTCCTTGAAAATCACAGGTATATTCCGCAGATTAGTGTCAACTAGCACGGAAACTAGATTGATACAGAGTTTCTTGCCGGTTAACTACAACCACCTGATGTGTGTGCAATGGAACAATTGAGTACTTCATTTATGTCCAAGTTCACTACGAAAACGAAGCACATGATAGATGAAGGGCGAATTTGAAAACTACCGAACAGAACCACAACTAAGAAAGACTAGCTTAGTGTAGGAAATATCCCAGATACAATAATTCGACTATGTGATATTCAAATACTGATCCACAGGTTTAGAACCCTCTTTTCTAGAGGAAATTAGGTCAAGAAGACACAGTATTATTAGAATTATTACACAGAAATTTATTTAAGGATCATGCGCGGTTAACCATTAAAATAAATTATTAGGTGGAGTACTGAACGAATTATTCGCTGTGACCGAAAAGCAAGAGCAACTTTTAATTATCAAAAAATGGTAAAACAGAGGACAGATATAACAGACTAGTATGTAACAGTTTTATTTTGTTTTTAAAATTTTGAATTATAACTCATCACAAGCCAGTGACGAAATGAACTCAGTAGCTAAGTGGAAAATACGTAGGGTATTTCAAATAAAAGGTACTGGGTTCTAAGCCGCTGGGAACATCAACACCCGTATACGGTCGAACCTAGATGACGAGTCTCAAATAGAAAAAGTGACCTACGTTCCATTGCTAACCCCATTGCTTTGAACAGTTTTTATATTAATTAATTGGATTATAGTTTAATTCCATTTAGTATGAATCCACTAAACAAGTTCCATCTTTATTATTTACACATGAACAAGCGTCGGTCAACATTGACATAAAATCTATCATTTCACACCAGCATAGTGAGAAAAAATTTAAATAATCTGAAGCAAACGGGTGGAAATAAAGTTAGCTGTGATGAAAAGTATGGAATGATAGTAAGCTCAAAATATAGAATGTAGGGAATGAATGTAATTGCTTCAGCTAGACCAGTTTTGGATCATATTACCTAATGTTTTCAATCATACATACAGGACAAAGACTTTATGGAATGACACCATATTTTAGTCTTTTCCCTCCCATATTTAGATTTTCCTAACTTAATGCTATGTAAACAAACATTTCAAATCGGAGTTATGTGAAAGTCAGGCACTTAGAACGTATTTTCGAACCATTTCAGTCTATGAAGAACGATAGTGTCTCCAATCAACTTCCTACTTTTATTTAGAATACATATATCTCTAGCCTTAGAACTATTCACTTGACAATTCTACCATACGGGTGTTATCACTAATCTTCCCAATTAGAGCGTAGCTAAAGGTTAAGCATACGAATCCGTGCCTGATTAATAATTTAGTAATCGATCTAACATAGTAATAATAAACACTTAATATTATAAAAAACTTTATCAGTTCAATGCGGTGGGTTGGATGTTGAATAAAGTCGGTAGAGAGATAATTTGTAAATTCTTAAAAACCAATAATAAAGGAAGGAGAGTATGAAAGAAAGTTGTAACGAAAATGGAACACAGAAAACTACTGGGTTCCGAGTCAATGTATTTTAAGCGTTATGTACTTGCCGCAAGAGAAGAACAACTGGTGGTTTCGACTGCATGTAAAAATCTTATGTGCACACTGCGAAGGAGTTTAAATCCAGGATAATACAGTTCTCTACCAACAAATAGTACAGGTTTCAATATTTCAATCAATCAGTCATGGTTTGCCACTAGATGGATAACAGTTTGTGATGAAAATAAATTTGTAAATCAAATTTTACATGATGAGTATGGTCTGAAATTCATTCATTTCTAATCATGCATACCACCAATCAGTCTAAAAATATTAATGCGTTTTTTTTAAAGAAAAGGGTTTACATTGTCATCAATACATTGTAACCAATCTTATTCCGAACTTTCTTAAAATCTTTTCCTTTAAACTTACTACCATGCATTTTGATCATTTATAGAATTGTTAGGAAAGGTTTGAATTATCCTGTTATTGAAATTACAGACTGAAATTTGATCTGTCTTAGTTGGTATATATGCACACTGTGCAGATTGTCTCGATAAAGTCATTATGATACAAGTCATATAGAATGAGATTGTCGCTAGTAATAGGATTCAGGGCAAATGTCTCGTCCTACTGTCGATGCTTGCGCCTGAACTCAAACTGAAAATCTCTCACTTCAAATGGTCAATGCATCATCCATTTGCTCTTGAAACAACCTCATTATTTATCTGAACCGCTTACAATCAGACAATTCATTATGATGTAATCGAGAAAGCTTAAGGCCGATATTCATTAAATAGTGTAAAAGTGTATGATATGAAATTAAAAATAACAGAAAATAATATGTTATTAGTCTATGGAATAGTTACCAATATCTGCCCATTATTTCATACATTCGACAGTTTTTCAATATCCAGAAACGAACTATTCATTAATACAATAAGTGATCTGATAGTGACCCATACTAAGGTACTAAAACTTATAATGAAATTTTATTAGAATTTACGAAAACATTTGAGGAATGCTTTTGAAGATAGTCAAATGAAGAAAACAACTTTTTTTCAAATTGACCAAAACTCTCAAAGAGGATTAAAAGAATGATTCAAGACCATTTATGATAGTTGACTATCAGTATTAATAGAAACGTTGAATATGTCAAGTTACTTGTGTCTCACAGCTGTTAAATTCATTGTCTAGACAATCGCTAATCAACTGAATTTGAGAAAATTATCAATCCACTACTCAAAGATGTTACAATCATAATAAAATAAAGGATTTGAAAGATTCTAACTTCTAACAACTGACAGTGTCATTTTGATCACAATACGAAACGAAAAGGAACAAGTATATCATCAAATAACAGGAGACAAGATTCAAATACATTAAGATTTAGCAAAATATATTATTTGTCACCTTTTTTTTCACGTATATATAACTTACTTGAGTTAATAAATAATTGGAACTCTTAGATTCTCTTGTTTTACTAAATGGTGAAATTATTTCACCTGATGAATTTAAATCAGGTAATATAACTAAGTGACTAATTAATCGAATTCCACGTTTCCATTCACTTGGTCCAGATATTAAGGCAAGAATATTTAAAAATGAATGAACAGCACTTAAGCATACAACGGGTACTTTGCCTTTAAAAAAAAGAGAAAAAACCAATTTTGTAATGTAAAATATTTTTTCAAATGAAAATCGATATATTGGTTCGTACATAAGATCATGTGAACAGTTAGTGCTAGCGGGATATATATTAGATCAAATCATGTTCTAGGTGGAATCGTGTTGGAGCACGTTGACTGACTATTTCTTAACCAATCAGCGCTAGAGGATAAATTGGAGAAGATTCTAGAATCTTCTTACGTAAAAATTATAAATATAGTAGCGTTTCTCTTATTGTGATTCCTAATTCAATCCACCCTTGTTATTTGTAATGTAATTACGTTCCTGTTCAACCGTGTTTTGATTTTGGGTTTCGTTGAGTGAAGCAGTGTCCAAGAAATACTAAGCAACAAGAGTAGATGAGTCGTAAGAAGAGAAATTGTAACAGTTAGGTAATGTGATTGAATTATATGAATGCAAGTAAATGCATCACAGAAAATCATAAAAATCATACTTATAACCAATGGTTAATTTCATCCACATAGTTCTTTATTTATGAAGTATTTATGCAAGTAAACACAGTCATAAACAATCTAGAACTAATATGAAAAAAGAAAGAAAAAGATGCAATGACAAACAAAGAAAGCAATTTTTTGGAGGAAGGGACAGTATTTCATGTAATTCAAAATTTGCAAAGTAGTAGTATTTAGTTTTGTGCCTGCTCTAATCTACGAATTAAAAGCTTTTATTGAGTGTAATTCAATTTTAAATGGTTTTTGAACTATCCTTTTGTTGATATTTCTGACTGAAATTTGATCAGTCTTGGTTGGTATATGCGCATCTTGTACAAATCGCCTTGATATAGCCATTATAACACATGGTGGTATAAAATAGATGTGGTTAGCAGTGGAATTTAGGACGTGCGTGTCATCTTATTCGGGACTCGTCAGTTAGATATACCTGCATCCCAGAGTTTATATTCACTACGGGACTTGAACCCGGTACTCACCTACTAAATCCGAATGGACACTCACTTGTTTAGTGGATGGAGTACTGTCATAACATTTTCAACTTCAAAATTACTGTAGTTTAAAAGTGACCATTGTATTTTATTCTTTATACTCTAACGTTCTAGTTTAGATACAATAGTTTTTTTTATTATTTATCCCTACGGTCTCGTTGGTCAAGCATTCATGCACCTTCGATAACCAAAAAATTCATAAACTTGATGCTTCGTTGATGAAGTAGCCATGTGGAAATAGTTGAAACAGCTGTTAAATGTTAAAAATACTTTAATCTTCCTACGTCTGATGTGAGTAGTTTTCAATTGTTTATATCGTTCAGTAATGAATGAAAACCAGACTTAATTAGCATTAAATATCCAGTGGGTATTCAAATACCAGGACTACCAAGTTGTAGACATTATTCATCTTAACAATGTAAACATTTCATTATTTCCTTGCATCAAATCATGATAATACACAACTATCTTCCAATACCGTCGATGGGTAAGTACACTACACAGTATATGGTCGAACTTCACTGCTCGAGGCTTCTCACTAGGACTTCGGCAATTATCTATCGAAATTACTCAATGATAAATCACATTGTTATTACCATAAACGACTTGTGAAAATTGTTGAAATTCATAGTTTACGTCACGGACTGATCACAGAAATATAGCTGGTAATGAATTTAGCCACAATAATAAATTGGTCACACAATACCTCGAAGATATTTGTCCATCGATAGAAGTACCGGTACTTCAGCTTCAGATTCTATTAGCCATTCGAATTTTTCTGGTTTCAGTGGAGGATGGTTCAACAGTAATTGTGTACGTCTTTCTACTGATTGTAAACATTCTAGAATTTTATCAGATATAGCTTCGGCATGATTATCATTATTGTCAATTGATATCAATTGATCAGTAGGAGAATATGTTGGATTGAATTGTGACAGTTCAGAGACAAAAGCAATCAAAGCTGAAACATCCAAATTTATACGATTTACTTCATCTACACTAAAAAGCGAAAATAAATTGAAATACAATAGAAATATGATTAGTATTGGAATCCAGGATCCGCATTTCATTCTGTTTGGAATTCGTCAGTTGGATGTACCTGCCACATTTCAGAGTTGATGTTCGCTCCAGGAATACACACTATATACAACCAACAGTGAAATAAATAAAAGTCAACAATCATAAATATACGTTCAAGTGATGCAACTATTCATCAAGTACTCAGAGCTCTGAGCTACACTTTAAGTATAAGGGCTACTACTACCGGGGTCGCCTGGAAGGAAATGTAGTCGGTGTCGAGCACGTTCAACCTGTCTTCGTTTAAATCTCAAATCTTTTAATCAGAAAATTTCCCTATATTAATCCAATCACGTGTTCTATGACAAATCCTTTCTATTACCACTGATACTATTACTGTCTCTACTAATCTGAAATTCGCCCTGACAATTTCATCATCCCGTGTTAATAGCGTGGTGCGTGCTACTTCCGCCGACAGACATAAGTAGTATGTAGTAGCGATCAGAAGTGGAATCCCTTCCAAAAGAAGATTGAATTGAAGAAAACAGCGAGAGGAGCAGACAGCAATTAGAGTGAAAACAAAGTTGAAAATTGACTTCCCACACCAGATCTTCGTTCATCACAATGGGGTAAGGCAACTTAAATGGGTGTACACGTATCAGGTTCTACATTGCGTATGACTGACTGTAAATGTCCGATTCAAGGATATTTAGATGATAATTTACTGCTTGGAGTCACTTCAATATTCATACACTATTTACCTTATTTCTATACAGCATATTAGTATTGGTCACATAAAGATACTCTCCTTTGTTGAACCGTCTTCATTTTGTTTCATCATATAATAAATTTATTCCGTTAAAATCATTTCAACATCCAATTTAACATCTTCAGGAAGAAACACTTACCGACCATAAGAATCTATTAGAAATGGCCATAATGAACATTTCTGTAAAACTGCATCCATTGGATAAGTAATTTTAAAGGAATTCAATGAATCATCCACTTCAAACAATAACAATTCATCAGTAAGAATACTGGCCTTCTGTTCTTCGTGATTAACTGTTTTGTACAATCTATTCAACAACGACAGTATCTTTTCTATAGCTTCAAATTTAAATTGTTTGAAATCACCAGACGTGTTATCGTATTCAGTAAAACTATTTAAAAATTTCTTGAATTTATATACAGGTAAGATTAAATTTCTAAGAGATACAGTATAGTTAGGACTTTTGAAAATGATAGCAGGAATATCACAGTTATTAATCCATGGATTAGAACCAGTAAGTAATGTCACATCAATATTCTGAAGATATTCACGTAAATCTGAATCTATATCATTGATTTCAGCACAGAAAGATCCATGTGGTAGCCAATGTACGATTACACGAATCCAATATTTCGGTTGACCTCGTTGATACCAGTGAGATGCTAGGACTAATTCTTCCGCTTGACGTCCCAAACAAGCTACATGTTTTGAAGAAGCTTCACCTATATGAACATCAGAAATTTTAGTAAAAATGGGTAGAAATAAACCATAAAAACGAGCTTGAATGACTCTTGAAATGACTGATAAATTCTTGACTTTATTCAGCCGACCAGAAAACAGAAATTATGGATAAATAATTGATAGTGCTAGGACTGGAAATAAGGACTACAGTTCAGGATTTATGATTATGATCTAGAGTTTACAGCTAGTGTCTAAACTAGTGTGCAGAATTTAAGATTTAAGGAAAGGATATAAAACTTGGGGATACAGTTAAAACAAAAGTTTAGGACTAAGAGTTGTGACTTAGGGTTATGATTTAAGATTTAGATTAGGTTTTACGTTTAGCACCTATGCACCCCAACCCTAAATTCTTCATCTTAATCATAAAAATAAACCCAGCTCAAATCCTATATCCATATGAACAAAAGTTAATTGATAGAAATAACAAACACCAAGAAAGGTTTATATTAAAACCACTTGAACATATGTAAATAATAGACTATATTGTCGAATAAATTCATTTTAAGTATGACTGACGAAAAAATCACCGGAACTCACATGCAAAGGGATGCGCTACATTATGAGTGACATCTACTGATTTCGAACCCACAGTTAAAGGAAAGACATTTTATTCTATAGTCCAATGGCGTGAATTGAAGTATATTTAGAAAAGTTGAAATTCATACGTAACCTACACGTAGTAATCCCAAGCTCTGTGTTGTTTTAGCTAGTTACAAATTACATGCATATGATCATGCATTTACAAAGCACCTGTATGTGTAGTGGAACTATCCATCAGTGTAATAGAGAAGCTAGATATAAGGTTCAGGACCAGAGAGTCAGTTCAGTCAGTGAAGTTGTAGATCTACACTCACTGAGATAGCGGCGCATTCATAACAACTGGTCCGGTGATCATTGCTGACTCCCGTGAATGGTGATCCCTTATAAATAATTAAGCTAGGGAAATACTTTTATTAATTTTTTAAAAAACTCATTTACCGTCTACGTGGGTATGACTAATACATTCTAAGAATGGCATTAACCGATTGTCCAAACTTAAATAGATGGAGCGGAGTTCTGACCAAAGATTCAGTGGCAGGAAGTTGAACATCTTAACCATTAAGCTACCGCTTAGTAGCTTTCGATTACGTCTTTCCTCGTTTTGTCTTTATGAGAAATGTAACAACTTTTGTGTGTGAGATACTAGGTTGATGTCTTTAATGGTCGAAATAAGAAAGCACGCATAAACATACCACCTGATGTATATTACTTGACAAAACTACACAATTATTAGATTGATCACATGAAATAGAATGTAGTAGAATATAAAGTATGTGTTCATGATGTTGTCGTTCAAAACAGTAATAAAAGCTTAACAATTAAACCATCCAGATCAGTAAAAATCAGTTTACTATTTATATTAATCACTCATTCAAAAGTTTATTCCATAACATCACCAATAATCACTTCATACTGACATCATACAGAGATTGAGAGACTGCAATAGTCGAACATCAGTAATTATATACCAACATTAAAGGCTCGCTTTACCATGATCAATCATGTTTTGCAGTTGTGTATGAAAAGTAACTCGGCCTGTAGCTCTTCTAGAGTTACTGCCGGTCCCAATCTCGAGTAAAGGAGGAGGGTTGAGCATGGGGTCAACAACTCAATCCTATACAAAACAATCTTGTTAAACAAATGCTAACCACAATAAAATATTTGAACCTATTAAACTCTGCCCTCCGATTTCAACGATCTTCATTCATAACAATTATGACGCCTCATGATGAAGGCCGAGATTCTTAGGAAGCGACGAGGACGATACCCCTTTTCTAACAACCAGAGCAACAATTAATATAGGTACATGGAATGTCCGTAAATGTAGGAGACCAGGAGGACCAGTTAAATAGTTACGGAAGTGAGGAGATACAACTTGGCAGTACCAACTGACCCATTACTACTACTAATTATTACGACTACCGGAACACTTACCTATTATATTGCATTACTCTGTAACTGTAGTCTAAGTTTTCAGATTGAATGGATAAAAATGCATCAAAAATTACTCACTCACGTGCTATCGCAAAAAAAAATCACAATAAAGAATAATTAGCAAAACAAACACATATTACCTCGCCAAGCATTATTAAGACGAGATGAATCACGAGTCACAACTTTAATCCACAAAGCAGGAGCCCATAGACTGGCTTCATCTGCATTACCATAACAGGTTCTAGATCGTGAAAAATCATCGATACCTTCATCTGATTGTGTACATATTAAATCAACGAGCAGAGAGTCTGGAAAATATCATTTGAAGAAATAAAATCAAATTATCATAATAATATTGTTCACTGAGTGGTAGGCTAGCTATCGTATTTATATAATGACATTAGGTTTAATTAAATAATAATATCAACACCGACTAGCATAATAGATGTAACCTAATACTTATTAATGACGCTTAGGGATGAATATATGACACTACATATACATAAAACAGACTTAAATCGTATAGAACCTAACACGTGTGTTCGACTGACTATTATAAGCTTAATTTGGCACATATCGGCTCCCAGAAACATGAGGAAATAAATGAAAGGAGAAAGAGGTTAGAGTATTAGAGTGTAACAACCGATTTTGTTAAGTTTAATAGCTAGCAATGCTACTATTTACAAACAGTTTTCTACGCAACATACTCCAATTTCGTCGGCCAGACATCAACAACATGCTACTGTGGTACGGAACAAAACATATCCCAGCTGAAGAGGAAATTAGGAAAAATCTTTGGAGGTGGATGGTACACATATTTTGGAAATCACCAAACTGTATCACAAATTAATACCTAGCTCGAAATCCTCAAGGCAAAACGAGAAGAAAGAACACATTCAGCCGGAAATCTGAACCAGACATCAAAAGAATTAACAGGGATTAGCAACGACTGGAAAGGAAAACCCAGAAAATAGTTGTTTGGACAATGCTAATCGGCGGCCTACGTTCCACGAGAGGTAACAGGCATAAGTAAATAAAGTAACAGTGTAAATTTGACGTAAGTGCCGTTTACTTGGCAGTCCTATCGCATAAAACAGATAGCTTAATGATAAGGTCACTTGAAATTCAATTACTAAGACTCAGGTTCCATACCCACTGCACCTACTTCGGTCTGGGCGACCGAGTAGTATCACTAGCCCTCACACCAGAAGTGAGGTTCGAAGCTAAGTACATGATAAATCGGCCAATTAATATAAAAGTGATATAACGGATGGTTCTAAAATATTTTTCTCTCTTCGCGGTATACTACGCTAAGCTACATTCGATACATGAATGGTACATAATACAGATACCAGATCTAGGATTCACAACCCAGAACAGAGAGCCAGATTAACACTAGATAATACTTTATTCAACGCAGTTACAGGCAGTCACTCTGAGACGGGAGTAAAAATCAATAGCAGAGGAGGAAATCCATACTTAATAGTTAGTAGGTTATGCCTTTTTGTTCATGCTCAATGACCAATCACGTTCCACTCTCACTACCACACATCATTTTCCCTCTAGGTTTGTGGGTAGTTCTTGTCTTACATTCGTCTGTAAAGATTGGATCAGCCTTATGACACCAAATATCTACCCTGGCATTGCATGCATTATCTCTTCCCTCATGAAACAATGTAGGATCCTCAAATTTCAATGTTATAAGCAATTCGATGACCCCGTTTTGAATTATCTTTTCATATCTCACACTTCCATTGTATGTGAGCATTTGGGTATACACAGAAACATATGATTTGAGGCCTTCCACTATGTGATTCTGACTTGTATGAAAGTTCTATGCACGCTCTTCTTGCCTTTAACGTCAAAAAACCTAAGGCCATTGTTCGAGTTATAATATGAATACACACTTTGAACACCGATCTGTGTAACTGACACGACATGTGATTTATCAAGGCTTGATTCACCTTCAAGACAATCAAATGAAAAATACGCATTTGCCTCATACTCATTGGGATAATTTTGGACTCAGTTCAAATTTTCTGCCTGTGAAAAATTTACATCTCGACAAACTGGTTCTCTGACTGCTTTGGACAGACGTGATATGCCTTTTGGTTCATCATGCCATCGACTGGGGATTCTACTCGACATACATAGTTTGTGAGAATATTCAACATCTGATACAATCACATCAGAAATGTGGCTAGAATTTGACGCATTTAGAACATACTTGTCACATTCACTAGGGATTTCACTAGAAATAAATCCAAGGTGAGGACAAATGACATCCAATGTGATACCGTCAGAACGTGACTAGCCTCGTCATGGTATTTACTTATGATCGTAATATATCGAAAGAGAAAAATACTGTGAACCATACGTTAAAAGCAATTTTACAAACAGGCATAACTCAATACATACGACCGAAGTATATTTTTAACCTTATATAAAAACTACTCCCCAGCTGGATAAATTGCCACACGGTATACTCCCCTTTCAAAGAACATCAATAGGTAGTTACCTGAATAAATACTCGAATTAAATTAACTTTAATAGGTACGCACGAATGTTGAAAATCTCCACTGTGTGAAATTAGGACAACGAAAATAAACACATCGATATCCTATGCGATAGACAAGTCATCGTAAAAGCAATACTTTACGAAATCAGTCATTCCGATCGCCACTTTCTGGTTAACCGATAGTGCCTGCTGAGATAAAAGTTGAGCTATCTAGCTTTACCAAATTACCGGTCCAGTTGTTCCTGTGAAAATAACTTTATCTGGTGTATTCTAGATATATAAGCCAGAGTTAGCCAGTAATCCCTATTGTGACAAATGTCAAGTTTCTCTAGTCCTTCTTGATGTTGATCGAATTATATCGATCACGCTACAAAGTGGCCACTAGTCTAAATAATCCAACATCGCGTACACTGTTTCGACGTTAGGTTATTGGGAGTAATCAACTGGAAGCCCTACAGAAGATCAGATACAACCAGAATGGTTCACTGGCAACACCTCAGGCTATGAAGGTGGATGGTACAAGATCAGATCTACCAGAAAGCGTCAGCTCCCTTAAGACTATAGGTATACTCAAATTTATTTTATCACATTTCGTCGATAGTGACCATATGATAGATAGGACTGAAACATTCAGGGCCATTAATAGTATTTTTCCAACAGGATTAGATTACTTTGCTTACATCCTGGGCAAGCTATAAAATTTAAGCCGACGATCCTTATTATTTGCAGTCAAAAAACATTCATTATAATTTTATCTTTTTCCAGATCAGAAAAGACATGATAAAAGATCCTACCAGTTGTTCACAACTATTAAACAGCTGTTTCAACCTAGTATGAGACAACTCAGAGGTATGCACGTATGACATCATACAAAGAAGTGAGTACATTTCCTATATCAAAATTCTTATATGCCGAAGAGAATAATGAATGGTGACTGTTGGGATCCATTTATGGAACAATTATATATATATATGTAAAGTTATAAACAATTGGACAGAGCCGTGTAGGTCGGCGCATATCATTTGGTAGGAGGTCGCATGATTGTTGCAACCAGTGGTTAGAGACCTTTGATCGCATAGCTTAGAATCGTCCACAATGACCCAGGTGAATCCACTAGTTGTCCTCTCTTAAATTCCAAAATTTTTAATTACCTTATGAAACCTTTTTAGACATTCATATTTACTTCTCCAACCATATCTTCTTTTTCTACTACCATTGATATTGTTACTATATCTACTACGCTGATAGGTGACTTAGTAATTTCATCTCACTATACTAAGGGAATGTGTCAGATTGAAACAATACACATACATCCCAAGGTCCTACGTTGAGTATGACTGGTTTATTTGAGCTGCAAATCTATTTCTTTATTACACAATCATGTATATTAAGGTGAAACAAGAAAGAAGTCAATGGAAAACTGCTATCGTTACAATTCTATATCGTTCTGAACAATAAAATCAAGTATATAATACCAAAAGAAAAGATTGACGACAATAATTTCACCTTGTTTGTCGCATCGTAATAAATAATCATTACTATTTGAATGAATCGCATTAAGAGAACTGACAACATTATTGTGATTATCATCATCATCAAACTGCTGTACATGAATACTACTGTTGACAGTTGATTCCAACGGTAGACGATAACGACATAATAAATCCACAAGACGATTACCATAAGAATTGGCTATTGTGGTTATCGCTTTGAAATATGGCAAATTGGAACAAACAGCTGAATCGTCGGCTAAGTCAGACGGCAACTAATATAAACAGATTTTTGGAGATTTAATTTTAGTAAAACGGACAAACAGTAAAAAATATCCAAGTATGTACAGATTACAAATGTTATGAGAATAATTTACAAGTCATGTAAACGTACATTACAAGAACTAGTCAATCTATAAGATTTGGTAACACGTAAGCAATACGTAAAACCATCATTTTTTTAATCAAAATATAGATTATGATTAGTAGTGAAAACTAAAACGACTGTTCTATCCTATATAGGATTTTCCAACTGAATACACATGCACCACAGTGTCGATGTCCACATAGAGATTCGAATACAGTAACTTTCTCTTTAACACCTAACCCCTTATTCACAGCATAATTGAGTTCAGATAACCACTATCTTGTTCAAAAGGTATTTATTTATTTATTTTAACACATAGATATTGGTACAAGGAGGCACCAAATACATATGCGCCACACAAATCTCATTCGATGTGTGAAGGCTGCGTTACTGCCCGGGTGCCCAAACCGAAGCAGGTGGTTTTCTTAGGGGGCCACACCCCGAGCCTTCGACCTGAAGGTCTGATCCACAAGGCAGTGGGGCATCGTAAGGAGATGCAGTCTCATGGTAGCCGGTGACCAACAATTGGTTCATACGCCATTTGTTCCCGCAGGATACTGGAGCCCATGTGCACCATTGGTTTGGAATCCGGTTAAAGCGCCGGACATTCGCTTTTCGTCCTCTCATTTTTGTAAACAACACCCCCGCCACGAGAAGGCAGTGAGTAGGACTTCCCTGGCAGAGGCTATATACGCGTGGCAATGTGGGAGCATTTCGAGAGGGAGAGCGGACTCTCCCCACTCTTGGCCGTACCAGGGCATTTGGGGGCAGTTCAAAAGGTATGATTTTAATAGCATCATTAGCGAGAGCAAAAACATTCCTTACTGACAATTGTTTCCTTTTTGATTAAGATTTCAGAAAAGTAGATGATTAACAATCCATCCAGAACGATATAAATCTCCAAATGAGTGGAGAGAACTAATAATTACTCACTATTATTAGACTGAATATTAGCATAAATCAATACTGAAGTCCCAACTAACATTTGACGAACATGAAATATATGTTACATATGTGTGACATATTCTTTTCACTCTTGTCAAACTCGATAATAGTTTAAGAGCCAAGTTCCGTGAGTTATGCTCCCACATGCCCTGGCAAGGCCAAGGGTGAGGAGAGTCCGCTCCCCCTCTCGAAATACACTCACATGGCCACGTGTATACAGTCACCATCAGGGTAGTCATAATCACTGCCTTCTCGCGGTGAGGGAGTTTCTTACGAAGAGAGAGGACGAAAGGCGAATGTCAGACGCTTTAACCGGGCTGGTGGACACGGAGGGTCTACTTAGGAGAGTTGGAAAACCCTGGTTACAAAGCAATGGGGCACATAGTCTCCAGGATGTTGAGGGAACAAATGGCGTATGAACCTATTGTTGATCACCAGATACTATGAGATTGCATCTCCTAACGTTGCTCTAAGGCCTTATGGATCAGACCTTTAAGTCGGAGATTCTAGGTGTGTCCCCCTAAGAAAACCACCTGCTTCGGTTTGGGCACCCAGGCAGTATCACAGCCCACACACAAATCAAATGACAATTACTACTGGAAATATTATTCTTGCTTCAATTAACATTCAGACATATCACATTTATTTTTATTTTATATACTACATCACTTGTCCACTTTCTTCTATTCTCATTGTATTCTTATTTTTAAACTTATACAGCAGCTCGCCTATGGTGGAAGCCCTGTCCTATTTAAGCGGTCCCGAGTCACTGACTGATTGAAAGTTGAATGCTACCACCGAATACGAATACTGAGTCTTCCTGAAACCACGTATACCATTCAAACTGGCTTCCTTCAACATTCGCACACTAATGCAGATCACACAATAGATAAGGTTATCTATGTCTTTAGAAAGTCTTATTATCGACGTCTGCTGTCTATCCGAGACCCGTAGTCAAAAATCTGGTGATGTACTACAAATTCTCATTCCATCTGTCGCTTCTAAAAGCTTGTTTTGCGTGCGTTTATCCGGGGATCCTGTGGCGTCTTCGTCTGGTTTTACTGGTGGCTCACCAAGCGCTAATGCTGAGGCAGCACTGATCGACTGAGTCCCTATTAACAGTCAGTTATGTGCTGTATGGTTAGAAAATTCCATCAAAGTGCGGAGAAATCATTGTGAGAAACGATGTCTTTTTGTCATCTACACCCGTGCTCTGACAGATTACAGCCCGGATGCGATCAACGATGAGCTTTGCCACCAGTTACCAGTCCTTCTACAGAAAATGCGTTCAACGGATAATGTAGTACTAGCTGGAGAATTGAATGCTCAGGTCGGGCGTCTAGGCACAGGAGAGTCGTTTAGGTGGCCTATGGGGGTTGTTGGTCACAGGTCCACTGCAACTGTGCGCAAACTACAACCTGTTTCTGGCTAGCACTAGCTACCAACACAGTCATCGCCAATGTGCCACCGGGAGTCCTCCCTCTGCATCTAAAGCCTGAACTCAGGTTGATCATATCGCGGTCAGCTACCGCTGCCGTGGTTGTGTACAAGACTGTCACTCCTTTTGGAGTACCTATCTGAACTCTGATCATGCCCTTGTTTGTGCTAATCTCACCTTACGTTCCAGTGGCCAACAAACTCATCGTCCTAAACCGATCGGTGTCAACAAATTGGTTGCAGCTTCTGTTGCAACTAAATATCAAGCAGAGCTAAGTTCAAGGTTAGCTACCATCCCATCAGAAAATGTAGATGAGCCTCGCGAAACGTCCCGCTTATAAGCACTGGGTTTCCTCAGGCTCCTTACAACTGATTGAAGCCCATCGGTTTACGCCGGGTGACCGCTAATTTGACCACAAACGAAGACTTACGCAATGAAGTTGGACAAAGTTTGTGTAAGGACCGAGAATCCTGGTGCTCGGAGCGTGCCAATGATTTGAAAGCAGCAGCTGCATCTGCTAATTGTATATTTATTACCGAAATATAAATGCCAGTGATTTTGTTGAAAATAAAATTGTATTCCCCTGAATTCTCTTGGTTTTAAAAGAATTAACATACGAATATCCTAACGTCATGATAATTCTAATAGGTCCGATTGATTGAAAATGGAATTAATTGAGTGTTTTGATTTCAGCCTGATCGGAGGATGCAAGAAGACAGGGATATCTGTCATAGCTAAGGTTTCGCAACTGCGAAAATCTCGTTAAAGAACCAAGTAAATAGGAAAGAGGCGACACCAAGTGTAAATTAATGACACATCACCCCTGTTCATGATATTACTACAGGATATGTATTAAAATAACAAAAGGACTTACCGACTCAAAATGAGTCGTCTCTTTTTGACACATTCTAACTAGACGCTGTTTTCCTGGGACATCAGGAATAGTGTTATTGATATGATCAACTAATTCTTTCAGTTCAAGGATAACCGATGAACTACTTTTCTTGTTTGTCATCATACTTTACTGACTATGCAAAACGCTTGCGATGCTTATCAATGGAATGGTCTTCAAATTGACAAGTTTCATTTATGGAGAAAAGGTATAATCTGTAAATAGGGTAAAGGATGAAATCTTACCAATGTACGCATCTAACTTTAGTAGAGTGCATAACACTCGAAGGCATAGAATAAAACGATAAAAATTGCTGTGGTCAGAAAAGTTGAATACCAATAAAAACTAAGACTACTTTCAAATTACTTCCATTGCTCAATAAAAAAGCGGCAAAACAGATTTTGTATATAGAAAATATAGTGAGACGAAACTAGTTTAAACAAGTGGGATTTTTGCTCAATAGCTGAAACACTTCTCTCAGAACATAAACATTTTGATACAAATATGCCGAAAAAATGTATGTACAATGTGGAGTGATAATGTTATGAGAAGACAGAAAAGTCCGAGTAATGAATGAACAAAACTAGCATCCAAAAAATAGTACAGTTTAGTTTCAAAAACTACGCGATTAGGATATATATCTCGGTTGGGAAAATAGATATATTAAATAGGTTCAAAAGCAACCCACGGATTGCTATGGATCTTTTTGACCTGTCCCTGACAATGCTTAAAACTATTAAGCTATATGATTTTTAGGGACTCGACGAAGAATTTATGGTGAGAGAATAGATCCAAGACAAGGAAAGCCGTCATATCACGGCACTATGTTATAAACAGACCGACTGTCGGTTTTTTAACCCAGTCCTACAGTCAAAATATAATATGTGGTGTATAATTCATAGGTTGAAAATAGACATGGGGACAGTAAATATTTTTTTAATTACGTAGCTGAGGATCAATAGCTCTTAGTTATAGTTGCAACTGTAACTGCCTTACATGTAAGGCAGTTTCGTAGTATTCTACATTATCCTGGCACATTGGGAAATCCTAGAAACTATAATGAAACAATGGACAGTAACACGTCACCAAGGGATGACCTAATTCCTTCAACTACTCGTAATCAAATACAAACAAAGGACTTTACTTAGCAAATGTTAGCTCCACATGGTAACGCAAGCTCATATAGGGCGCTTTTAAAGTGTTCAAATGACTCTAAAAATAGTAGAAAAAGCTTTCGCTTAACGGGTTTCCGTTTTTAGAAACAGTGGATCACAGATGCTGCCAGGATGGAACCTAGGTATTTCTAACTATAAAGGTAACTATAAAGATATTTGTAAACAATAGAGATACTGCCCTCAGTCCTAGAGAATATATCAAGTTTTCTCTTAAAGGACTCCTGCGAAGTCGCTTGAACTAGTTCAGCTAGCAGCAAATTTCGGCATCCGACTACTCTTAGGGAGTAGAAGATGTGCCTGCAGTCCGTTCTGTCATGTTGTGGCTCTGGTTCCTGAACGATGCCTCCAAGGTTTGTGTTGGCACTTAGATGAAGTAGGTATTTATTGGGATGTACGAAAGTGTTGAGGATGCTGTGCGTCATTAAAAGGTCACCTTTAAGACGCCTATATTCTGATGGGTAAATTTTCAGTGATTTGAGGTGTCCTTCATACGGCTTGAATTTGAGCCTTAGAACTGATTTAGTGACTCGCGTTGAACTTGTCCCAATATATCCTTATGCTTTTGAGAAGAGGGAGGTGTAGTGGTAAATAAATCCCCAAAATAAATTGTTCTGTTTTTCTTAGACACTTGATACTGGCCGCATTATTATTACTGGACACATCCAACTGAAGGCGCTTGGTTACGCATTCGCGCCAGATCACGAGTGGGTATACCATGCTACACATCGCTTACAATCGTCAGCCAGCTTAGATTAAACGATCCCCGATATACCGATAGCTTTCTTAATATGTCTTTGAACCCCGCCTTCATCACTGACTTATAATTTGACTGAGTTAGTATACTATGATTATAAAGGTGCTAGGTGTAGAGGTGTTGTCAAACTCCGAACACCTGTGGCACCTTTATATATATTTCGTTTATCATAGGCTTGTAACAACTTAGGTTTATTAGTTAAGAGTTGACCTCGAGCAACTAATTATGTCAAAACAATAGAGCTCAAGCATTCATTCACTTCCTTATTTCGTATAGGCATTATATTTCCTATTATCTTATATTAATGTTGGAAAGTGTTGTGTGTATGGACAGGCAACCTGCCGCTTCTCTCCATTCAGCCACTTTTTGGCTTGATCACGTAGAACTGTTAATTTTACTTTATAGTGTGATGCAGTATGGTATGTTTATATCTAATCTGCTTGAATTATAATAAAGACCATGGATAAGCGACCATAGGTCTTACTTTCCTTCGATTCTTTTGCATTCGGACGGTGTTGGGTCAGCCCTCAAGCCTGGAGTAGTAGTCTTATTGTCCTTGTGGTGTATCGCTTATTTAACTTGGTCTATACGTATCAGTAGGAGCTAGGTCATGACAGTTTACTTCATCTTTTATCACACCGATTTTTTAAATAGGCGTTCATCATGGAATCATTAGTTATTTCGTGACGGACTCTTTCGACTACTCACTTTTGCGCTTGCCTTTAGTCTGAAATAGTGTTCCTCCTCTTCTGCCATGTTGTTGGTAGCGGAAATGATAACATGAAATTAAGTTGTGGCCAGGAAGAGATAAAAGTACTTGTAGAACTTGCGTTGTCACACTAGTAGACATTCATAGCGTTCTTCACAAAGCAGTGTTATTGGTTTAATAGGTCCTCCTAATATTGAGTGATAAGTACAGTATATGTTTTGTATAAATTCACAAATTCCACAGCCAATGAGTGATTATTTACCTAATCTCGTCATTTTGGGACGTATTTTTAATGAACACAATACGTTTCTTACATTCTGGTGCACTTCACAGGGTTTTGTAAAATAAATTTCAATGAATAAATATGAAAACCTGACTCCCATACTAAAAGCACATGGCTGCCTCATTTTATAAGTATGTTTTTCACAATTTTACGGGCACAGAGTCTTTTAAATTTCCTAAGACCCTACTGCAGTATTGACCGTCAGTACTACCATTCAACAGTCCCAGTATTTTCGTTCACCATGCTTCGCATTTGATCAGCATGGTGCAGTACAATTTTTAGGAACGACATCCATACAGGTCATCAGAGCTAACATCACACCATTAATTCATGAAAGCAGTCGTTGACTTCGTACCGCAACTCACCAGACGTAATTGAAACCTCGTCACACAACCAAGACGATAACAATGAACATGAAATTATTTCAGAGTACTTGAAAACAGCGTGTCTCCAAGATCCATACCGGTTGATCATGCATTCAATTCTGTAAGACCCATTGATAATGCTGTTTCCTAATCTATCCCGGGAGAAAGCTCTAGTTTTTAATGCTAAGCATCAAGACAATTTTACGAAAATGTCACTGTTTATTAGCACAGTAGACCAATAGTTTGTTTTATACACGTAAATTCACATACGTGGCACATATGTAAATTACTTCTCGACCTGTTCATTCTTCCCTCCATATTTTGATAATTGTGCATAAAGATGATATCCGAAACATCGGGTCATAAACCAGACTTTAACAACTTAACATTTGGCCGCTGCGATAGCAAAAAGGACTGGCATGTGGAATATCTTATGTGGCTGATATGCCACTTTTCCACCAACAGATTCGGGTTTGATTTTCGATTCAGACTTGTGTATTGAGGTATGAAGACCTAAGTCATGTATTCGTTCTTCTCTCGTAAGCTTCTGTGAATGTCTGGCCTTTAATCGTAGAGGGGGTCAACACTTCACCGGGTAACAAGTTTCAAGTATTGATGACCCAATGTGAAAGTCTGTATGCCACGTATATCGTTTTGTAATTGACCTTTCTGTCCCTGTGCTATGTCCTCTCAGTTATTTTGATCTGGTAAGAAGAAAACGAGGGGACATATGAGGCTCGTAATCGCTCCTTGCTATTCGATATATCAAAATCAGATGACCTAATCTGCGGTAGGGCAGGGAAAAAGATCTAGCTTCTCAGGCCGCTCTGTGTAAGGTTAACACCGGAATTACACAGATAACGACCCTCTGTATCTTTTTCATGGTATTTGAGTCACTTTGAACAGGAGCTTGTAGCCTGGACGGAGCTTCCAGGTTTTTATCTCACTACAGATGCGTATTGTCATCATCCAGGCATCCCATGTAGCTATATCGAATGTTACTTTGTTTGTTAGAAGGAGCTTGGGTCTCATGACCTCCGAAGAACCTCGACTTTGACCGTGTGGCATTGTAATTCTTCTGAATGAAAATTCTTCAACCCAGAGGGCAGATTTTAAATATTTCAAATAGTTTATTCTGGTGAGTGTCTGTTCACCAATCCAGTTTTTTTAGGAGATGTAGTTATCGACACCATGTCCAATCCTTCCCCTTCACTTTCGATTGGGACCAGCAGCAACTCTGGAAGAGCGACAGGCAGAGAAGCTCCGGAAGCTGTGGAAACCTTCACATACCTGGTCAGTATCATCGATGAACAAGGAGGATCCAATGCTGACGTAAAGGCAAGTATAAGTAGATTATTTTCACGGTTGAAGAACAAATGGAACTCAAAACAACTGTCAACTAACATCAATGTCAGGATCACCAATACAGACATCAGAACAGTCCTATGGTACGAAGCTGAAACTTTGAGAACTACTACAACGATCACCAGGAAAGAACAAGTATTTGTATGCAGCTATCTACACAAGATACACAATGTCCGCTGACCGAAACCATCACCAACAACCTACTGTGGGAGAAAATAAACCAGCTTCCAACTGAATAGGAAATTGCCAAACGACTTTAGAAATGGGAAGAACATATATTGAGGAAGTCATCAAACTGCATTATAAAACAGGCGCTAACTTGGAATCCAGAAGGAAAACGGAAAAGATGACCAAGGAACCCACAGCGTCGAGAATCGGGAGTAGACGTTGAAAGGTTGAATAGTTAGTGGAAACAATCGAGAAGGAGTGTTCTGGACAAAGCTTGATAAAGAATACTGCTCGGCGACCTATGTTCCTCCTCAAGGGTTAACAGGCACGAGCAAGTAAGGGTTATGTATACTGCATCAGCTAACCAGAACATATAAGTACGCGTGACATGTAAATGCATCTAGGACCCATCCTTATCGCTCACCAAATTTTTTCACCATCAATGTATTATGGTATTAAGGACTGAACTATGCTTGGGAATTTATCTGCGTACAGTAAAGAACCTAGAACAGAGCTTTATGGTACTTCACATATTACTATTATCCACTAGGAGCAACTGGAATTTACTCTTACTTTCTGACCATGACCTAAAACGAACTAATTAATTTACTGCAGGAGAGGTCCGTCAGTTGCCAGATTATCCAGTCTCAAGAGGAGTCTATTATCCGGCATCTTATCAAATATTTTCCACGATCTACACAGTCAGCGCTCACTGATTTTCCACCCTGTCAATTTTTTTTATATATGGAGGTTTATTGTACAAGACAATCTTTTTCTGAAACCATAATGTTCGCTGCTTAGCAAGTTATTTGTTTCTAAGAATATCATTCATGACTTTTTGATTATTCTGTCCAGTATTTTAACCAAGTTACTGGTGAGGCTGATGAGTTTGTAATTTGATGGAAGCTGTCTTAATCCTGTCTTATGAATTTCACCCTTCCAGTTCATAAGTAACTCAACTTGATCGAGTGACACTGAATATCGTATTCAGCAATATAGCAAACAATTTGTCTCACGATTTTGAACTGTAAATCATCCATTGATTCTCCCGTGTCTAAAGTGCTGAGGGCTTTTAGTACGTTGTTTTGGTGGAAGTTCTCAGTGAGCATCCGATTTCGTGACTTTGTATTTGGGTCCAAACTTTCATCTAGAAGAAGCTTCTGAATGAAAACTATCCTCTCCTTTGTCCTGTTCTCCCTCTGTCATTTGAGATGTACTCGGTTTTGCAATAAGGTTTTAATTTTATCGTGTGTTCTTTTTCTGTAATTTGTGTATCAGAACAGTTTTCTCGGCTATTTGACTACAGATTTTGCAAAATGCTTATCATATAGTCGCTGAACTGCTCGGATTTTGTTTAGACACC